TAGCTGTATAAACTGTTCACAGCAGGGGCTAAGTAGATGCCCCCACTCTGATCTGATGAGCCCTCACAGCCTAGATACCTCGGGAATCCAAAAAGTTCCATGGCCCCTGTTTGGTGTTCCTGACATTCTCTCATTGCTCTCCAGGCAATGCCAAGGCAAGGTGGGAGGAAGGAGAACCCTAAAAGATACAGCTCCAAATCCCAGGCCCTTATCCCCAGCCCTATAGTTCTAGGGTCGACCCACACTTGCCTGTCACACTTAACACCTGACCTAGCTGGAGCCCAGTGTCAGGCCGCAAAGGCAGCAGCCTTCTCATCTTGGTCCCTTGGGCCAGCTTATGACTTTTCTCTGTGACTTTTAGTGATTCCTACTGCCCAGCAAGACTGGACAGAACTGGCGCCAGGACAGCAGGGAGAGCCCCAGGCCAAGAGGCAGCAGCTTCCTTCTTGCTATGAGACCTTGGGTCCTGCACGGAGGCTCTACCTCACAGTGTCATGGGGGCATATATTGAGCCCCCAGGGAAGAGTGTACACCTCTCCTCTCTCAGGCCCCAGGATTGGACCAGGCCTTGAAGATCAGACCTTTTCCACCATCCAGTACAAAGAAGCTTCCTTCTCACTGACCAGTACAGTGTGAAGGAAGAGATACCAGGCCTGGGACATCCCCAGGACTGCACTCAGTGGGCAGGTAGAGGTACCAGGGTCACTGCTATCCTACTGGATTCCTCACTGCAATCATACACCAAGGAGGAGTCGCGACACCCATAGGAGTTGCAGCCAGTTAACAGGCCAAGCAGCCACAGGCCTGCCCCCAGTTCCCTCTCACTCCTGCAGGCAACAGTCAACACTCCTGGCAGAGCAGATCTCCAGGAATTCAAATAGGAAAGATTTGGAAATGTTTTAAAGAAATGCAGTTCTTCTTTTTCATTCTTTTGATTGGTATGCAGCAACAACAAAGGCAGCAATGAAATCCAATTCAATGTAGCTAATGTGACCTTGGAATCAGATATGCCTTGGCTGCCAAGATTGAAGCAAGCTCTCTTGGCTTTGGGGGGGGGGGGCTTGGGTTGATTCATCTGCAGAATGGGGATAATACCAGGTCATGCTCCAGAGGATGCTGTGACAAGACCATGGGTCATAAGACACACAGGAGGATCATGGTAAATTGTCACTTACTATTGTTACTTTCTATCCCAACAGGCTTCTCATTTCGGTTTCTAATAAACATGTAAAAGTGACATGAAATTAGCTCACCTATACAGCCCAAGAGAGAGAACTCTTCCACAGTGATGTGATATATAAAAAATATTTTGCTAAGCAATTTTTCTCACGCATTGTGAAAAGGCAAAGTTTGACTCCCCCCATGAATATTATGAACAACTTCTGACTAGTGGCTATAAAAGAATCTGGAGAAGCTACATTCATCAGCCTTTCTGGAAACAAGGTGCATGTTAGGTCCTATAACCCATGTCTTTGTGTAGCATTTATCGTACCTCTACCTGACTTCAGTAGAATTCACACACTGACCTGATTTCTGGCGAAAACCATTTCTTGTCATGTTGGTGAGCAGCTCCTCCTGCACTCTCAGTTCCTTGGGACTCGGCAAACCCATGCCTTGATTCTCAAGGGGGCATCCTAACACCATGTAGGCAGAGTGATATAGAAGACTCAGCTGGAATTAGCAGGAACACATAGCCTGGCACTGCTGGAGCCCCTTGATTCACCACAGAGGGGCTCCATCTGAAAACAAAGCTAACACACAGGAAGGCAGAGAGGCAAGAGGAAGCAAGGGTCCTGATGAACTGGCAGGAGCGTCTGGATCCAGCCACACCTAAAGATTTTTCATCAGGTGTGCCTTCTGTTTAAACTGATGTGAGTTGAGTTTTCTGTTACTGGTAACTAAAAGGACCTTGACTGACACTAGCAGATAAATTAGAGTTCCCTTGTACTAAATAGATTAGGAGACCACTGCCAACATAATAATACTTTAAAGTTACTACCGCTTTCCTTTAAAGCAGAAAGATAGTCTCATATGTCTTCAGGAACAGGAAAGCAGATGAGCAAATATGTGTATCCCAGGCCAAGGGACAGAGGAAAGGATCTATGGCTCTTGGGAGAGACGATTCCCACACACGCATCTAAACTTAAGCAGTGGGGCCACTGGTGCCTGCTGTAACCCTGCACATCCCTTCTGCACCATGGATATCCACATATTTGCCTAGGAAGCTAGTTGCACGGGTTCTTCAAAGATCAGTTCCACTATCCTATTTGTGTGGGGAGTACTGGATTACACAGATTTCTTTATTATAGAACTTAGAGATCCTGTTAGGCACCATAGACCTTCCCAAGGCAAATGCAGCTGCAGGCTCTCCAACTCTGCTTTGTCCAGTGAACCTCATCTGCTCAGAAAAATTTGCAGGACCTTGAAGAACACTCTTGGGAGAAAAGGGGCTGCAAAGCTTCGTTTCTCAAAGGGTGGTCCAAGAACCAGGAACACTGGCTTGGAAACTTACCAGAAATAGAGAACCTCAGGCCCCACCTCAGAGGAGCTGGAACCCAATTGGCATGTTAACAAGATCGGTACAACCTGACTCACCTACTTTGGTGTATTTTAGATAAACCTATCAAGGAAGAGTCCCAACAGCAGAGGAGGGAGCTCTATGTAATGCAGTGGTGAAAGTCAATAGTTGCTTGGTCAGTTAGGCCCAATGAGAGGGAGTGCCCAGAAATTGATTCCTCCTTTTATTGTATCTTAGCATCTTTCACCAACCCATATTTGGGAGCACTGTGGCAGAAGGGGTCAGACAGATCCAGGTCAGACTCCCGCCATCACTGGCTGTGTGGCCTAGGACAAGTTACTCAACCTCTCAGAGCCCCAGTGCTCCATCTGTGAACCAAGGATTAGGCTACCTCCCCTATAGGGTCAATGGAAAGACCAGAGGTACAAAGTGTATTTAAAACAAACAAACAAACAAACAAACAGGTCCTCCATGAGTGGACCTATCACAGAGGCACAGAAGGACCTAAAGGGTTAAAAAAAATTGATTGGCCCAAAATCAGAACAGACACACACACACTGAAGGAAGAAAAGAACTAATGATGCTGACCCACTGTCTCAAGGCCATTATGCACTGGCAGCATTCAAAGTTACTCTGGCAGGACCCAGTATTCTTTCTAACACTGTCTTGTACCCCTGACTGAGTATGTCTAACACCTGAGACATCTCAGCATGCCTGTCCTTCCCAGGCCAATTCACACCTGGTGCCTCTGCACATACTCCCCTCTCGGACCAGATACCAATCTGTGCCTTTTCCAGCTGGCAATTTGTTCTACAAGACCCCATGCAAATAGCCCCCAAAAGCATACTCTCAAAGCCCTGACCAGAGTGCCCCTCAGCCTGTCAGCCTCTTAATAGGTATCAGGCCTGCCATATCTATGACCAGTAAATACATTAGAAGGTGCTGACATAACAAATGAATCATCAAATGCACAGGTGAATAAATGACACAGTGGCAACCCATCACCAAAACCACTGAAATGCTCTCCATTGGGAATTAAATATTACCCAGAATTGATCCACCAGTAGACTACATCCAAGTCAACCCTGTCCCACATCTTCACCCCAAGTCCCCAGCAATGATTTCCTTTCATTTTTTAGGAAATTCACCCACAGCATAAAAGGAAATATACCTATAAGGCCCAGGACATCCTCAGAGACTATAAAGAACTGCCCTATTTGAACCCAGTTCCTCCAAGGACATTTATGGTTGTTTGCAATATGCCAGGGTTCTAACTAAATCCAACCAAAGGCAGTGATTTTCCAAAGCAACAAGTGATGTTTCCTGTGTGTCCATAAAAAGAACACCAGTGGTTGTGGGGCTCTGGTATAATTGCAGGTTCTGCAGACAGCAGGACCAGCCTGAGCTGCCTGCAGATGGGTGTACTCAGAGGCCACCAGGGCTAGGAGAGTGGCCACTCACTTGGAGCAGGAGTGCCCTGAGCAGCAATTAGAGCAGAACCCACCGTTGGACTGGAACAGCTTCAGATGTCTGGCCAGCATAGTCAATCTGACCACCAGACACCAAATCCAAAATAGAAAACTGCAGTGGCTTCTGCCATGTGCCAGGCCCCCAGCAGCCAGACAGCACCGCCAATGTCAGTCTCTTCCCTGAGCATTGATCCAGGCTTTCTTCCTCTGGGCCCCTGGAAGCAAGTGAACTTCCCAGCCATACTGAGTGGCCCAGCAGTCCTAAAAGGAGCCCTCCCCTAGCCTATCTCCTACCCTTCAGGGATTGTCCCCAAAAGACCAAGCAGTCCTTGGGCACTAGAACCTTCATTTCCAAATTCTCCCCTTGGCTCTAAATAGAGAAAATTGACTTTTGAAATTACCAACTAGAGTTCATCAGGAAACCACAGTATAAAACTCAGTGGCTCCAGGTCAGTCAAGGGGCAGAAGACTAACAGGGTATTTCAACACCAATGCCTGCTCCCTGGCTGATGTCCTCTGGATACACAGAAGACTGCAAAACCACATGCCTACCACACACATATCACACATGATAAGATGCACAGGCATACACTCAACAGATGCCCTGACACAACCATGAGCACAAACCCCTCGTATGAATATGCACGAAAGACAATGCACATTCACATATTCACACAGGTACACACCTAGAAAAAAGTACTGACATTCCAAAACACATGTGTGAATGCACACACTGAAATACACAAACATGTATCAACCTATCTGGATGCAAGACACAGAGGTGCAGGTAGACTTAAGGGAAATGCACACTCTACTACTTGGTAAGGGCTTTGGGGAGACCCACACACACACAGCTTTGCATAAATGAGCCCCCTTTCAAACTAATCAATACAACTTGCCCTTCAGCCAACCCCAGAGAAGATTCTCAGTGCAGGACTTGCACTCCCAGGAGATCCCCAGCAACCAAAACCCAAGCAAGGGCGGAAAACTGAAAGGAGCAAGACACTACTCACCAGTCCATCGCAGTTACTGAGCGCCACTGAGGAGGCTTCAGCTAAGCCGGCCACGTCGCCAACGTATAGGCAGGTCCCAAGCAGGGGTTCCACTCGGGTTGCACCCGTCTCACCCTGCCACTCCACAGTAGCCCCGGGAGCCACGAGGCGGGCATTGGGCCGCAGCCGCAGGTGCAGGTCTCGGCCAAAGACCGTGACATTGTAGAACAAGCGGTCGCTAGGGTCTTCCTCACTGCCTCCTGGGAAGCCGGAGGTTTGGACAGGGGCGGCCCTGCGAGCTCGTACCCCCGCTCCGGTCGTTGCCGCTGACACCACGTGGGACACCAAGCGTCCCTGGGCGTCAGTGCGCACCGGCACCGCCAGGAAGCGCTCCGCTCCGAGCCCCAGGGGCCCACCTGCAACGGGAAGGGACGTTAGACTGGACGAGAACTCCTCGGCGGCGGCCGAACCCTGCATCCCCTAGCCCTCGCCTCAATGCGAAGGGATGGGGCATTTCACCACAAAGCCCCCAGAAGCTAGCCTGCACCTCCCGGCTTTCTAGCAAACGGGAAGGGGCGTTAACAGCACCACCACTCCGGAGCCACGCCGCCACCCAGCCATCCCCCTCGAGGGTCATGCCAGCTAAGAGATCTGTCCCCTGTCCTGTTCTGGGCTGGGGCTCCGCCGGTACCTCGCGGTTCGTTAGGTGACAACCCCATCGGGACGTCCCCTGCCCCTTGAACCTACCGTCCTTGGCAGGACATGGGGCTGATCGGAAGACATTCTCGGTGGGTCCCCTACCCGTGCGCCTCGACCCTTCGGCTGCCCCTGCTGATCAATTAGCCTCACCGCTAGCCTCCGAAACAGCTTCCCCGAGTACGGGCGGCCTTCCTCTGAGTCCAGCTCCACGGTAGCCTGCTGCCAGCCCCCTCTTCCCGCGCGTCCAAGGACAGGGAGGAGTGTAACAGGGTCCCAGGAGTCTCCGGGGATCCCCTCCGGGGCGCCTCAACCAATCCCCAGGGCCCAAGGCGGTGCGCTCAGCACCGGCTCCTCCCGAGTGTCCCCGGACGCGAGCGAGCACCGGCGCCGCCTCGCCCTGGCTCCCCTGGACCCACTGGAGCCAGCTCTGCGCTCTCTACCGCGGGGCTTTCCCGTCCCTCCAAGCCCTTGCTCCGCATCTCCGAAGCCGCGAGTGCTCCGAGGCTCCCCGTGGCCCAAGGCACCCGGTTGCACCGCTGGGCGCCCCCTGCGCGACCAACGCGGCCCCGAAGTTGGCCAA